CGATCAGAAACCATAGCAACATGATGATTAAAATACAAACGAACAGAAACCATAGTAACATAATGATTAAAATACAAACGAACAGAAACCATAGTAACATAATGATTAAAATACAAATGAACAGAAACCATGGTAACTTAGTGATTAAAAAACGAGCGAACACAAACTACAAACTACAAAACTACGTTAAAATTCGAGGTTCGATATTTTAAAACAAACAATTTTTCACTCAATTTTATCATAAGCTGTTTATTTTATAACCTATTTTCTGAAGCAAAATTTCAAATGTTTCAAATTATGGACATTCTTATGAAATTCCAGTTTTAAAATTATACTTATTCTTGGTTGTTGTGATATCTTATCCTAAGATAACAACATATGATATATTAATTTTTTTTAAATTATTAAATAATAGTATTGAGTGATCATAATTAAAAAGAAATCATTCGAACAACATTTTATTAAAATTGTATTATCAGTTTTATTTTCACTTTTTCCAAATTTCTAATCCATATCATCAAAGTAAATAATGTCGTAATTTCAGCAAAATACTACAATAACGAGTAATTTTACTTAAAACATAATAAATATGATAAACCCGTTTTACAACTGAACCAATGAAAACACATTCACAAACAGCATAGAACAACTCTGACGATTACACCGTTCCTGGATGACTCATCACGAGACTGAGAATCCTTAGACAGGCTGTCCGTCTTATTGCCTTTTATTTAAGGTTTTATCTTAGAAATTGGTTGATATGCCAAGATTTATACGTCATGAACTGAATTTGTGATTTGTGAGTCACATCAAGCCACCTGGTGCTAATATTTCTAGCAAAAAAACTAATCTCTCCTGCACATCTTAGGGACACAAACTACAGTTAGTCAAGCTAACACATTCAGACTAAATAAATAATCTATATGTATTCATACTTATACAATTAAATGAATAATTAGTTTACTAAACGGTTGCCAGTTATCGGTGACAGAATACGTAGAATCATTAATCTTCATAATCGTAAACCAGAACGGAGATATAAGTAATTTAGTATCTGCTGTGAAACCTAGGATGCATGTGTTCAATGTAAACGTCTTTTAAACGTTTCAGTGATTTAGACTAAACTTTTTTGACACCACTAGTAATAGTAAAGTGGCAGTTGAAACTGACTGAAAAATCCCGAGAACTGCCACGACCGTCTGCTGTCGATACTCAAGAAGTATAGAATCCTAATTCCGGCTTCACATAAGGTCAAATTATTCACTCCAACTGATTGTTTATTCTATTAATGTTTTACACCATATAGCATAATATGTGATATTTTCTGGTGTGAAAAACTTGTCGAAATTGCAGTCATACGAATTTCTTTATATATTTAATGGTTGCGACATAACGTTTAATACTGGTGAAAGTTTGTTTGTTTTTATCGCAAAGCTGCACAATGAGCTATCTGTGCTTTGTCCACCGCGGAGAATCAAACCATATATTTAAGCGTTGTAAGTTCGTAAACCTACTGCTGACTCACCGGGTGACACAGTAAAAATCTCACAGATAAACGAGTACAAATCCAATAGCTAGTGTGTAATTATTGACATACATCAGGTGGCGTTAGATGTTTATGTGTAGCACAATCTAGTCTAATTTGAAAACTGTTTAGTAATTTCAGTAATTATATGATATTACCTCAAGCATCATACGCCATAATATCCTTACATTACGGAGAAAGTTCCTTTTGTTCCATTTTTAAAATTATTTTCTTTAAAGTTTGTTAGTAGTTTTTTTTTTAGAAACTGAACTAATTTTAGAGATATGAAATTTGTAATGGAAGACAGTGTAAATACTACTTCTATACATGAATAGACTTATGACGTCTGCTCATCGCATGATTACAGACACTAAACTTAAGACTTGGCAAGCTGACAAAATAACAGTCGGCAAAAACTGTTACAAATTATACAGATAAACGGTGGCAAAATAGACTAAGCGAAAATTTAATAGCAGACTCTCTTTCAGCATGAATTAATTTTAATCTCACTCAATCTCAGTAAATTACTATATGTACAATGGGAACTGTATTAAATCGTGCTATTAAATTCAAGCCATTGAACTTTCGTCAGTCATAAAACTAATGAAGAAAGTATTTTTAAAACAATTCATGACTCACATCGTTTTAGGGAAACCAGCCCTTAGCCACGTTGTAATATTGGGTTTTGGTAGGCACTATGATGTTGAAAATATTTGCATAACTGGTAATAATTCATATCGGAAACGTTAGTATACATTCCAATAATTCACACTGTATACCTGTAAGGATACGCCCCAGTAATTTACATCGTGAACATTTCTATACCTGTAAGGCTAAACCCCAATAATTTGCAACATGAACGTTTTGTATGCCTATAAAGATACTCCCCAATAACTTACATCGTGAACATTTGTATACCTGAAAATATACTCCCCAATAACTTACATCGTGAACATTTGTATACCCGTAAAGATACTCCCCAATAACTTACATCGTGAACATTTGTATACCTGAAAATATACTCCCCAATAACTTACATCGTGAACATTTGTATACCCGTAAAGACACACCCCAATAACTTACATCGTGAACATTTGTATACCTGTAATCATTCGCTTCGGTATTTTACATCTATGTGAAATATGAAGAAATGTAAGAACAGAAATGAACCAAATCGATAGTTGATTCTACAAAAGCTTTATAAACCAAACAAGCAGATTAATTGTAACTAATTATGCTTAGTGAAGGGTGGTCTGAAAGGGGCGTGGTTTCTTCTCGTTATGCTTGGTCTGATTTAATTTCCATTAACGAATGACTACGACCGAAGGTAACTAACGGTTCACTGCTAGCGGCATCGTATAGAATGTTTCTACAACAGGTGGCACGCAATACAATAACAAACTGAAGTATTGGTTTTGAAAAACGTGCTGTATTAGGACGAAAAGTCTTTGCTTATACGCTGCATTATACAAAATGGACATGTCACACTCGTATTATACGCACCAAGCATCCCAGCTCCTAGATGGAAAATATACTCCTGCAGCGTGATGATGCTAGGTCCCATGTTACTCATCGTGTAACAAATGTAGTTGAGAGCTGGGAAATTTGTGTGATCAGTCTCTCTATAGCTTCCACCATATATACCAGCTCTAGCACCCCATCAATTCCACCTTTCAGATTCACCTATGGAGAGTCTGCGTAGATAACCCTTCCGAGAAATTGATATTCTTTAATAAGCTGTAAGTAGACGAATTCTTAACACCATATCTTCTGCACATTAAACTGATGTACTGTTTGGTTTCACACATCACCAACATCAATGGTTTGTTCACTGTATTCGTATATGGTTAGTCTACAGGAAATAGCACCCTGTTTCCTGTTGAATACTTCATAGATATATAAAAAAAAAAACAGGTAGAAATGTGGGACAATTCGTAATTATATTCTCCTAACAATAGCTTTGTGGCTTACTTTTACATTATTAGAAGTATGAGTTTCACGACAACTTAACTTATCTCTAAGTGGTTAAGGAAAACTCTTTTTGTTCAATGATAACACTGTTCTGTGTTATCATCTGATAACAATGTATTACTTAGCTAAACATTTATATAAAAACGTTACGCTTATCTATAAGTAGTTATGAAAGTACTTCTTTTGTTCAGGGATAAACAGTTCTGGTTTATCATCTGATAGCAATTAAACATTTTATGTAAAAGCTATAATAGCTAGTTTCTAAATAATAGTTACTGGGTGAAAAAAACAACAACGACTGAAAACGATGTCGACAATTTAGTTTGGTGTTTATCAAGTCCAGGAGCGTCGAGAGCCAGCACGGGCCCCGGAGCAGACATACTCGCCGGGCCACCTTTCTCTATCTTTTCTAACATTTTTAAGAACTTATTAAAAAAGAAGATCCTAAATTAGGACATCAATGAGCTCATAAGCGAGCTAAAAATCATAGCAGCAGCCATTTTTAGCTCACAGTATAAGCGTAAAAACGTTTCGAAAACAAAACTAAATCTGACAATTCTTAACGACATTTTAAATGGATGTAACACTGCCTATAGCTTTATTTTTATTTTTTGGTGAAGACTTCCTGTATAAGTATTACATCGGAGCTTGAAAAAAATAACTGATATCTTCGATCATTTCTTTATCTTCTTATTTGCCCTTTGTTATTATTAATATTTTTTATGATTTTTTTCTTTAGAATAGAATACTTTACTTTTCTTT